TCAGCAGTTGAAAGCTCAAAGACAGCTGGAGGAAGCCTTTGAGTCTCGTCTCCAGCGCATGCAGACCAACATGCAGACAAATACGCAGACACAAACCTTGGTTTCTTCAGACCCACCTCCTTCTACTGATGCAAACATCTCAAGCGGTGTGTAACTTAAAAACCAAGTTCTCTATCGCTCTGTGCTTGTGAGTGCAGTGATGGTGATGAGAAATGAAGAATTAATAAAACCTGTCATTATTGAGGCCCAGATTAACCTGGGCTCAGTGTAAGTTTTAATACCTGCAAGAGTCTTATTCAGACTGTATATCTACACCTAGACCCGTTGCCTGCATCTACAGAAGCTCCACCTAGTCCTCACAGTCACAGCAGCAGCAGCAACACATCGCATGGAGATAAAAATGGCAAGAATGGACACAAACCCACAGCAGGTGAAACGCAGCATACTTGGCAAATTTGCCTCAAGATGCTTTTGGGTATAAAAACTCAACAGAAAGCATTACTGGGGGGGGGGGGGAATCACTGTTGCTCCTTCACCTTAAAGATGAGCTACATTTAGTTTTCCTTTCTTTATTTTTCCTTTTTCTATTTCTCAGAAGGAAACAGCGAGGAGGTGCACGTGGGTAAAATCTGCTTCAGTCCCTCTGAGGTGCTCGGACACGGCTCTGCAGGAACGTTTGTCTTCAGGTACGATATGTTTGTAAGCAGAAAACTGTATCAGTGGATTTTCATGATTTTAAGCAAAAGAGAAAACTTGTATCATATTTTTGTCAAGAATTCTTCTTAAGCATATAAAAAGTAGCACGCTGTTTTCAGTGCCCATCACAGATAGCACTAATCCTCTGTATGTTTTCCTCATGATTACGATATTAATCATTATCCTTAATAAGGATGAGGATGACACCTCCTCTGTACCCAAAATGATGAGTTTTGACACTTCAGTGTATGTCAATAAAGACATGGTTTGATGACCATTAGGATAGTTTGCTTATTTTTTTCTGAGGGTAGCTGCTTAGGCAGAGACCATCCTCACTAACCTCTGATGCATCAATACAGAAACGCTCCAATCAGGAAACAAAGGTTTCAAGGGTTACTCCTGGTAGGCTGTGAACGGGTAAAGAGTTAAAAACTAGAGAGGGAAGAAATGGATTCTAATGGATGTTTATCTGATTGTGTTTTTTGACTTTACCGAGGTCTATACTATAGCTAGTGGTGTGACTGGATGTGAATAGGAACTCATTCAAAGCTAAGGTGACCACAGGTTGAAAAACTTGACTCATGTCTTAGAAAATATGACAAGCACCAAAATACGGAGCACACAGCTGTCAGTATTTCTTACTCCTACTCTCTATAACAGCAAAACATCAAAATCCTGACACAAACTTTATCTTTTTGAACAACACACATGCACATAATCATGTTATGGGGATTTTAGGGGTAAATTCGACGACCGCCTCGTTGCCGTGAAGCGAATTCTGCCAGAGTGTTTCGAGGTGGCAGAGCGAGAGGTGCAGCTCCTCCGAGAGTCCGACACGCACCCCAACGTCATCCGATACTTCTGCACAGAGCGAGACCACCTCTTCACCTACATCGCCATCGAGTTGTGCACCGCAACTCTGCAACAGGTTGGTGCTACAGTGGACTGTCACTGAGATCTCCGCTTTGACTGTTAATTGAATTATCTCTAA